ATATTGATAGAATAGACATACATTGCATATCCAATGAATGGAGATTTTGTTTCTCTGCAATAGATAATATTTAATGTCGATAGTTTCAATTTCAAGCAAAACAGAAAACAGAGCAATAACAAATACCACAAAACTTGGACTTAACATTAAATGTGCTAATTGTTATTTTGCGTAGGAGCCACTGGTTTTATGTAGTGCACGAACCCATAGATCATCGACTCTGCTAAATTTTGAACAATTATCAGTCATTTCATCCCAGATGTCACAGACGGTTGCAAACGAAGGGTCTTAATTGGGATCAACGTCAATTTTCTTCTGCAGCTGTTTCATGGGATGTCACACACCTGTAGGATTCATATCGGGCTATTTACTGGTGACTACTCCAAAGTTGATGTGGTATAGTTTTCCAAGAATTGGCCCAATTGGCCCAATGAGAAAGTGATTTGCCATGAATGGAGATGTCTACTTGAATGACAACATGAGTGGTAAGACATGACATTCCAACCACCTAAAAATGGCAGTTTCATGGCCTCTGCTCCTCACTGACAGATGATTAGTCCAAAGTCTAACTTATACAACTATGTGCTAAAAGGTTTGTGCTCTACAAGAAGACCAATATCTTCTAAACAAAACCAAAATCATACTAATGAGCACATGCAATGTTGAGTCTAAGTTCAGCATGGTATTTGTAAGTAATCTGTTTTCTAACTTGTTTGAAAATGTACTTAAGAAGATGCTGTTCTTTGCAGAGGCAATGATACTTTCTTTTCATTTGATATTCAATACATATCCATTCCACCAACCTTGATGAACCTCAATACACGCGCGAACACACTTTTACGTTTCATTGACTTCGCCAAGAGATTTTAAGGTCAATTATTTTAAAAGCCCATATCTCGAGCATCTCTGAACATAGGTGAAATATTATTGTGTCAGATAATGCAGGATTTATTTAGCATTAAATTGGCATACTGCATGAATGAGTAGTGCAAGGCTTTAACACGATGATTGGGTGATTACATTTTCAAGTTTCTTTTGGACGCCACTGTACAGTAAAACATGTACTCACCTTACATCTGGTGACTGGGTGTAAGCAATCCAACTCTTCTTATTCAGTTGAGCTCTTATTTACTCAAAATGCTACATAACGCTCAGCCTTTCCCCATGGCACGTACTCCATGCAAAAACATTTTGAATCCCCCCCCCTTATAAAAAGACGTACTCCATTTACTCATCATGTTCTGTCACCAACGAAAGATGCTTTTCATCTATGCCCATTGAGAAAACGATAAATACTACCATCTGTTGTTGATTCTACAGAGGAGGAAATATTGTTAGCAATTGTTTACTTTCTCGCGTTTAATTCCAGCCGCGCTCTAGATCTAGATCTAGAAAGAAATCTAAGCTTCCCCGACTGGACATTCAAAACTTTGCGCTGGAGTTAAGAATACGTAAACCACGGCAATTTCCTCATTTGTAGGTAGTAACATTACTATATTGGCTTCAAAGGCCTTCTGTTATGATTTGGATGGCCATTGAGTGAGTACACTATTCTCACAGAGTTCAGAGTGGTGGCTCGATACGGATGTCCTCCCCCGGAATTAAACGCAAGAAAGTAAACAATTACATCCATGCCGGCTTTAAGCACGGTCGTCGGGAGAAAGCTTAAACTTGCTTAAAGCCGAAGCGTGCTTGAGTGCGAAGTAAACATATTCCAGAGATTTCCATGTAGAAAATTTCCCGTGCTATTTACCTTTGTTTATAAGTAGCCTATAGCGTCCCGCAAAAATGTGCACTGTTATTTAGACACCCGCCATGGGAGTTTTTGTTTGCTTGTTTGTTTTTGTTTGGTGATCGAATGGGAAATGAAAACTTAATTTAGACAGCAGGTCACGATACAGCACACTAGGCGTACACACTGCCTGTGAGTACTACTGCCCGCAGTGCCACTCATACCACCGCCTTCATCCCACCTCGCGCGTGATACACAATGAGGAATAATGGATAGCGAGGGTCAAAGGTGAAATCGCAGCCAGCCTCCCTTTCTCGTCTCCCCGACTCTCTTTGTATTTTTTTGGGTCGTGTGTAGCTTTGCCCTAGGCCTAGTAGGCTAGATCCTATGTCCACGCGCGCGGCTATGTGCATCTGCCTTCCTCTCCGCCCGTGTGTGTGTCCATCAATTCCGTTCTTTGTGTTTCTCTTGACACTCTGCACTGCTGCAGTTTTGACTGTGTTCGAACTTCGATGGGTCATCATGAAAATATTGACTGTCTTGTAAATGAAGCGCGCTTGAAGCCGAAGTTACCGTGCTTAAAGGCGTTTATATAGCAAACATTCGGTAAGAGCCGTTTAGCGTGCTTGGGTCCGAAACGTGCTTTAAGCCGTCGTTCTTAAAGCCGACACGGACTGTACCGCATTGTTTGGTCTAAATTCGGGGTCACTGTTACCCGTTTAAAAGTATATACAATGTCAAGCTCACGCTTGGCACCAGGAACCTCATCATGCTCAGGATTCTCCTTCTCCTTCTCCTTCTCCTTCTCCTTCTCCTTCTCCTTCTCCTTCTCCTTCTCCTTCTTCTTCTTCTTCTTCTTCTTCTTCTTCTTCTTCTTCTTCTTCTTCTTCTTCTTCTTCTTCTTCTTCTTTTTCTTCTTCTTCTTCTTCTTCTTCTTCTTCTTCTTCTTCTTCTTCTTCTTCTTCTTCTTCTCTAGACCTAAGGGGATGTTGACTGCTGGTTCTTCAGCCTGCAGTACAATTGATTTTTACGTAGGTGACCGCTTTTCATACTTCGTAGGGCCCCTTGCTTTTAGGCAGACACGTCCAGATTTCAACGGTACTCTTTATGTTTTTATACTGACTAGAGTATTGTCAGGTTTGGTATGAATCAATTTTGAATTTTGCCTTGGTGGCGGCCGAAGCCTACTCTTATATCGATTTTAGAACCACCAAGACAGCTTAAACTTAAAATGCGCAGCTTGCACATGGGACCTCCGAGATTTTTGCCCTTTCGAGAAAGCCAAATGTTCGGTCACTCCTACTACTACCCTAAGATCAGAATGTGTGGCTGAAAGACAGTAGTAAGAAGGAGCAAGGAGAAACAGTACTTGTAGAAATAGTCAGGAGCAAAGGAGAGAGGAGCCCACTGGCCGAGGGTAGGCCGGGTTACAGCGAGAAAGTGGAGATGAAAGCAGACGACAGAACATGTCTAGAGAAAGGGATGCGAGTTAAAAAGAGAACATTTTAGAGAAAAAAATGTAATGCTTCCATTGCTGTCTGGTTTCGAACCTGGAACCTATTGAATGTGAAGCGAACGCGTACCTCTAGACCTCGAGAGTCCCGCATGTTTGGTCCTGATTGTTCTGTTTTTAATGGTGTTCCAGGGATTTTTTTAAAAACCGAATCTCAATACACACATGTACATGATATTGTATTTCTATGTTCTATGAAATGATCCCAAGTAGAAATTTGTGTGCCGGTGTGTTGCTATTTGTTTGGTTGCTGTTTGTTTCTGTTTCTGTTTTCTTTTTTTGGCTCTCCATTTCTACACTATTGATACACACACGTACATGTATGCTTTATAAAACGACTCCCATCATCAATCCGTGTTCGTGTTTGTTTGTTTATCTGTTTGGTGATTTATTTTCATTGTATTAGTACTTTATTCACACACACACGTACATGTATGTTTGATAAAATAACACCAATTATAAATCTATGTGATTGTTGTGTGTGTGTGTGTGTGTGTGTGTGTGTGTGAGTGTGTATTTGTGTGTATGTGTTTGTGTGTGATTGTATGTATGTTTGTATATGTATGTGTGTGTGTGTGTGTTGTGTGAGTGTGTGAGTGTGTGTGTGTGTGTGTGTGTGTGTGTGTGTGTGTGTGTGTGTGTCTGTGTGTGTGTGTGTGTCAGGAGGGGCTATAACGTGTGTGTTTGTGTGTGTGTGTTCGTATGTGTGTTCATGTGTGTGTGTGTGTGATCATGTGAGTAAGAGTATGATCGTATAGGAGTATGATAAACCAATCATGGAGATGCAATATCAAATCGGAAAACAAAGATAAAACGGAAAATTGCGATCGCGGCATCTAAACTGAAAATATAATGACATCCACCTGAAGAGGACAATGCAAAGAGATAAAAACAGAAGTTCAAACTCTAAGAACATTCTGGAGAATATTTTCCAACTTGCTACTGAGCTGACAGCATTATAAAAGAAATTTTGATTTAAAACTCTGTGATCAACTTCTCCTAATTGCTTTACGCTGTGATCAACTTCTCTCTTTCTTGTTCTTTTTTATGAATGATCGGATAGGCGGGAGATTTAACTGAGCTCTAGTTAACTAGTTTGGTCTAACTGTATTCGATACTATAGGCGATTACACCGAGTTCGATACTATAGGCGATTACACCGAGTTCAACAGTAACAAAGAAATATAGTAAAATACTAGTCGCTGTTCCCCGGTCGCTGTTCCCCGGTCGCTGTTCCCCGGTCGCTGTTCCCCGGTAAAATGACGTCAACATTTTAGTATTTTATATAAATCTTTCCTCGTGGTTTTAGCACCTCGCATAATTTAGCCAAATTTGATCATTTTTGCATAATTTCTGATTATTTTCCTTTATCATTCTTTGTTAAAATTAACAGAATCGCACAATTTCACATTTTTTGGCCTCAGTTTGCTTAATTCAGAATTTTTCTTGCATAAAACGACAGGGACAGATAAATTCATGAAGATGTATTTTTAAATCTAGCCTCAATTGTTGTGGCAACATATGAATAGATCTACGTTAAGATAAATTGATACAAACTGCTGAGCAAAGTTTAGGTTACATTGATTCACCCGTTAAATATGCAGCTGGTTGTTCGTTAAGAAAGCACAAACAAACACATGCACACCCACCCACACACACACACACATACACACACACACACACACACACACACACACACACACACACACACACACACATGCACGAATACACACATAAAAGAATACAAATAGCAGTAACAATAACAATAAAAATATTTCCTCCGTCAATGTCTGACGATGGCAAACACAGACAGAGCAGAAGAAAAATTTCTCCTGCAAAAAAGAGGATTTGGAAAAATTAAAGGTCAAGATGAATTGTGGGCTTTGCTGTGGCATTGTGGTTTGCTTCTACATCTCTTTCTCGTTGTCATGGTCTTTCTCATTCTCCTCCCTCTCCCTTGCACCCCCCCAACCACCACCACTCTGTCTTCTCCTCCTCGCTCTCACTATCCTGCTCCCCCCTCCTTCTCCTCCTCACTCTCACTACCCTGCTCCCCCTCCTTCTCCTCCTCACTCGCACCACCCTGCTCCACCTTTGCCTCTTCATCCCTGTTATATATTGCAAATATTTCTGTGATAACCTAATGAGCACGCGTGCCACTGTAGGTTCTGATTTTTGAAGTCTGATCAGTGGACGGTGATGTCGAGCTCACCCCAAAGAAGAAAAACAGAACTTGTTGTCATTTAACAGTTACATCTGTCGTGACTAACCTTTAGCAGCAGACAAAGTCTCTATTCCTTACACGGGGTATTTTTGAAGAATTAATAATTTCACTCCCCACATAATGTCGAAACAAATTTGGAATTATTTCAAAGGCCGATCAAATATCATTGTAGCATGGGTACTGTAGGCAGGCTTGGCAATTCCTTTACTTTAAAGAGCGGTGTAAATAATTAAAAATTCTAAGAACTTTCCATAGTTTAGAATATAAGATGGACTTCAAATCCCGATACGCAACTGTCTTCATCCAACATGAAAGAGTTAGTTTGATTATATGTTTATGTAACAAGCGCTAATCTGACAGAAGTTATAGTAAAGCCAGAAACATTCTATGCTCAAGAACACGTTGCCTATTTGATATCTAAGATCATTAAGCTTGTTGGACGGTAAACAAAACTGATGCTACTTTTCTTATAAGCCAACGTGGATTCAGAAAAGCCATTTGATTGTGATATCCTCCTGTGCTGGATCGAGGGGACAAGTGAAGTTTCGTCAACCCTTCTCTGAGGTGGTTAACTGAGACATGTGAAGAATGTGAAGGAAGTACTTTGTGATAGTGGCCATTGGTATCACATATTCCAATCTTGTTCCTACCAAACTTGGACTCTCCTTGAATAATCTTTGGAAGATGCGTTTCGTTCTTTTATTTTGTATCTTGAATGTATCGACAAGCACAGCGGACGTTCTTTACTTCGTGCAAAAGCCTAATTATAAGCTTGATGCTCCACATGGGGACAATACGAGACAGATGATCTTGCATGACACTGGTCGTAGGGGCACACAGAGCAATGGCAGTGATTCTGTTCTGTTTTTAAAGAAATACAATCCAGCCACAATTTGGTACAGACTACTATGACACTTTGAACCTGAATAGAAATCACAAGATAGGTGCTCACGCTTTGACAGTCAGATCAAACTGAGTCAGCAGAAAAGAACGCAATCCATTTTCCAGAAAGACAACGACGACAAGCTATTTCTGATAACTCGTCCACAACAGAGGAAGACATTCTGATAAAAGACAACCAGACACTGACCACCGAAGGGTTGGATTGGCAAAGCTTGACAAACTGCAATAGGACTGACGTAGCAGCCAAGACTTCTTCAAGCAATTCCTCAAACATTTCCTTTAACATTTTTTCCTCAAACACTTCCTCAAACACTTATTCCTCCCACACTTCCTCAAATCTTTCCTCAAATATTTCCTAAAAAACTTCCTCAATCACTTCCTCCAACACTTCCTCGTCAAACGTTTCCTCCAACACGTCCTCCGAGTCCTGCATAGATTACTGTTTGACCGTCCACAATAACGTGTCTTGCCCATGTGACCCTGTATGTTTCTTTAGAGACTCATGTTGCCGAGACATTGACCTGCTGTGTCCGGCGGAGTGGACAACGACACTCCAACTGTTTCATCCCAGCATATTCCAAGCCCGCTTGTCTGTGACGTTGCCATGAATGTACCGACCGTGGACTCGTGTCCTGACCACCCATCTGCTGTGCTGGATCCCCCACAAACGTCATCTCAGGCCCAACTTTTGAAGTAAGAAATGTCCCCTTCCTATGCTGATGTGTGGTTTTTTGGTTTTAGTTTTAGTAGACGTTTTACGGCGCTCGCAACTGCATAAGGTCATATGAGCTCCAAGGGGTAGATATCAACAGAGAAGTCCTTACAGGGAATCAGACTTACTCTGCTCACCTCTCTAGCGTCAACGGCACAAAAATTCTGCTTCGACTATCAAGGCACCCCGGAAATAGCGGGTCAGAAGAGTGTGGCAAACATAAAAAAGAAGTAGAGGAAAACGACGACAGTAAGGATTAGGAAAGAAAAAGCAGCAGTTCCCTGTTGTAGTTCAGGCACAGATATGGGCATGAAATTGTTGGATCAGCCCCTTTACAATTTTACTGTGCATTAGAACGAGAAATGTCCCCCCTTTGGGGAATGGCCTAAAGACACTTCAGTCAGTAGCACCGCCCCGGGGTTGTGAGGTGAGCTGACAAAATGAGCTACTTTTCGCAATCCACAAATGGAGATATTGGCAATAAAAATCAACACTAGGGCCAAATTTGTAGATTTTCAAAAGATGCCATATTCTGTATGTGTAATAGGCGTGAGATTATTTCATACTTAGGTATTTTCAAAAACTTATAAGCTTGATGTATCTATTTCCATATTGCTCAAATCCAAGAAGTAACTCATAATATCAGCATGTTTCACATTTACGTTCTTGAGCTGTACATGGCAATCGTTTTTTCCCCTCAAAAGATTAATCAGGAAAATTCCCTCTAAGTGTTAGAACGACTCTTCTTGTCGATGTTGATATCCTGTTCCCATTTCTATCTATTTGAGGTATTCAATTTGTTTAAAGGAAGAGCAAGATGATTTATTTAATAATGTGAGTGTTTTCAGCCAAACCCCATTTCAGTGAGAAAACAGTGCGATTGATGTGAACTCACCCATCAAACAGATGACCTTTACCACAACAGACAACAGCACATATAATAGGAAGTGACATTCCTCCAAATGCGTTGTCATTGGTAGCAAGAAGGTCTTTCTTTGATGAATCTCGTTGTTTTTTTAAATGAACGTTTACCTGTGTTGTGAGATTATATCGTAAATTTGTTCAGATGGGCAGAAGTGCCAAAATGAGCTGACTCGGTGATTTTTGCATTCCTTTTTACATACAACATCAGGAGACACAATATCTAACAACCCTATATAATAATTATTGTAATGGTCATCCTTGTTTTAAAATTGCTATTGAAAAACTGTTCTTTTAGTGTGGAAGTTGTTTTATCTATTACATAACCGGATGAAGGAGGATGTTTCAGTTCCATTTAACTTACGCTGAGTACAAAATCATTGTATTAAAAATAAAACACTTTCAGACTATTGCGCATGTTCATACAGCTTCAAAGTTCTCGTAGTTGGTAGTTGAAAGACACATTTGGGCATCAGTAATAATAGTGTGCAACAAAATCATGTTTTGCATCTTGGTGATATTAGGCTCTCGTCAAAATAATTCAACCGAAGAATATTGCGCATGTTCATACAGCTTCAAAGTTCTCGTAGTTGGTAGTTGAAAGACACATTTGGGCAAAGAAATAATCTTGTAAGATTCAACTGAAAACATTTGACACAAAAATAACATTTTCAGTTTCCATCAACACTCAAGCTTTTAATGCCCCAAAACTTTGGCGCCCATTTTCTCGTTAATTTTGCCTTTCACATCGGACGAGACATTTTTCCTTCAATCGTAGATACGTATCTCAACATATATTCAAGATAGATGGGTTTTCTTTTTTAAACCAGAGGCAATAGGAATGAATAGGATTTAAGACTGCACCAATAGCAAAAAACGTCTTGCTATTTTTTTCGAGCACACTGACCGAATTTCTATATAAGTTAAAGAAGATTATGTTGTCTCCATTGGTTTTATTTACTCTTAAGTTTAATCGAAAATAAGACGAAATTAATTGGTGCAAAGATGCTGAGTTATTGGCATGCATGTGGTTTCACTCTTGTAGACACACGATATAAAAGAAAAACCAAATAATTTCTATTTACCCTTACCTGTTCTATTGTAATGGTGATGTTGATGATTTTTTTTGTTTCCTTAATGGGCCTGGTGGACTCCACGAAGAAATCTTCGAGCAAGGGCGAGGCTCCTTTTCGGCTCCCTTGTCAATATGCTTAGCGGCACCTCCACTCGTCCAAATAACTCCTTTCGAATTGCCATTGTTCCTGGACATTCAAACATATGTTTGATAATAATCCTCTTTTTCGTGGCCGCATCTTCGGCAACATGGGCTGAGCTCTTCATTTACAAAGTTCTTATACCATCTTAAACTCCAATGATGGTCCGACTGCAGTCTCGCTAGCTCAACCTGGTACCAGCGACATGTAATAGATTTTTGTTCCCGCTAATAAGAGTACCCAGAATACACATCTTCCAGGTGCTGGTACTTAGTTCTACATGGTGGGTCTCTGATTTCTCTCTTGATTATTGGAAAGACTCCTCTGTATGTCGTTGATCGTCTGTCTGCTTCGATCTCTCTGGCTTCATTAGCAGCTTGGTCTGCTGCCTCATTTCCTTCTATTCCAACATGGCTTGGAATCCACTGAATTTTTATTGTGGCTCTGGCTTCACTGAACTTGCGGCGCAAATCAATCATGTCCGAGCTGTCGCCCAGCAGCCCCTTGCTGACTGTCAGTCAAGATCAGCACATTGGTCCTACTGTGGCAATTGTCGGCAATCCATTGTCCAGCAGACATCATTGCCTGGCATTCCTCGTCATAAGATGATGTAAGGAAGGCACCTTTAGTTTTAATCATTTCTGTTCGTGGTGGTTCATCATTTATTATCACTACAGCTGTTGCTCCTCCTTCGCGGTATCCTGCGACTGCCGATCCATCGGTGAAAATTGTCACATCCGCACCAACCTCTTTGGTCACATCCTCAGCTGATGATGATGAT